TAATCCCGGATTAGTAAATTCCACAAAAAAAAACATATATTATTTTTTAAATCATCGAGCCATGTGCTCTAAGCTTATAAGTATCAGTCCTGAAGCAAACTTTGTGCAAATACAAAGTCCATACCAATTTGCAAAACCATCAGCTTGGTTCATTAACAAAGGGAGAAAAAATGGATGCCGTTGACCATAATTCTTTCGGGGCAACCGTCACTGCAGACAAAACCATCACTTGCAAAGGTGAGAACTCGAACTTTCATTTGGATCGACTGGCGGATGCAAGTACGATTGTCTCTTAAAATCCGAATTTTTTTTCTGTTAATTATTCATTTTACTTATCTCGAGAACACAAGTTTTAAATATATGTATTCATTTTCGAAATTATTTCTGAATCCGCTCATGTTGCAGCGGCGGTTGCATGGGGTCCCGGAGAACCACTGGTGATACAAGATGTTCGAGTGGCTGCGCCTCAGAAGATGGAGGTGAGGATCAAGATTCTCTTCACTTCAATCTGTCACACGGATCTCGGTGCTTGGAAAGGAGAGGTAAAATAAAACCCGGTCGTTATTCGTATTTTCATCGGTTAGTTCGTGAATAAATTCGGTATGGTTTTTTCTTTTTTGTTTTGAAGAATGAAGCTCAGAGGGCATACCCTCGGATTCTAGGCCATGAAGCTGCAGGGTACGTGACAAGATATGAACATGTCACATTTTTTATCGAAAAAATCCTGATTACGTCTCTGATGATGTTCGGTTTTAGGATCGTGGAGAGCGTCGGAGAAGGCGTCGAAGACATAAGAAAGGGTGACCGTGTGATCCCGATCTTCCAAGGCGAGTGTGGGAACTGCAGCTGCTGCAAGAACCAGAAAACAAATCTGTGCCTAAAGTTTGGGGTCAACCCATTGAAGAGCGTGATGTTAAACGATGGGAAAACGAGGTTTTCGACCAAGGATGGGAGCCCCATCTTCCATTTCCTCAACACCTCCACCTTCAGCGAGTACACCGTCGTCGACTCCGCCTGCGTCGTCAAGATCGACTCCGACGCCCCGCTCGAGAAGATGAGCCTCTTAAGTTGCGGTGTCTCAACCGGTATAAACACAACGAGAAACCAACTTTGCCTTAAGTCTTTACTCTTTGCAACCATATTGACATGACTTGATTTTATGGCTCGGTCAAGGCGTTGGAGCGGCTTGGAATGTTGCCGACGTGCAACCGGGATCAAGCGTCGCAATCTTTGGTTTGGGTGCCGTGGGACTCGCTGTAAGTTGGTCGCTTTTATTGAGTCATCAAGGATATATAAAAATAAGTGTTTAAACTTTGAAATGATATACATTTTCCTAGTTTAGGTACTTAAATTATTTTTTGATCGATCATAATGTCTAATATTATAAATGTTATTATTAAGTTCTCGATTATACTAATCGTTAAAAATGTTTGTTAAATAATACATCGCATTCATACAATTTTTAATTAAAATAACTTAAAAATATTATTATGTTTTAAAAAAATCTCTACTTTTTTTAAAATTTTTAAAACTACAAAAAAAGTACCAAATCCTTAAAATTCTTAAAATCGACCCTAAAATTTCTAATCCTAAATTTATCATCCTTTTTGCCGACCTCCATCATTGACACCATCCTTGTCATCTCTCTTGTCGGTCATCGTCGTTCTTACCGTCATGATGACTGTTGGAGTCACCGGGTGGGGGCTTGGGTGGAGGTGTGGTCAAGGGTAGATTTTGTCAGTGGCAAAAGTGGCGCCGACCTAAGTATAGGGATTAAAATTAAGATTTTTAAAGTTTTCAGTATTTTTTTTAAGGTTTTCGAAAATTTGAGCTTTTCATTAAATAATTTATTTTTAATTTTTATTATTTTAAATAAAATTTTAAAAAATAGTAACGTTACATACCTGAATTGATCGGAAAAAAAAACTTAAACATCCAAATGAAAAAATGATACAATTTAAAACACTTATTTTTATATTAAGACCACCATTAAATGCAAAACTTGTTCATTATTTTTGGACACTTTTGTCACATTAGCTGAAGTTTACTTATAGAAACACATACTTTACTAGGAACACAGTTTTTGGACGTTTCTGAATTATTCAACCGTCCAACATACATATATACATGCATGCATGCATGCATACATACATAACACAAAATTACATAGCAGATTACTTTAAGAAAATCATACACTAAATAATGATCGATGATCCCATGTGATCAAGTAATTGAATCTGACACAAAATAATGAACTGGAATGGACCAGGTAGCTGAAGGAGCAAGAGTAAGAGGAGCATCAAAAATTATAGGCGTTGACATTAACCCTACCAAATTTGCCAAAGGTACTATTCTCTCCCTTCTAATTTTATTTACTTTTGTTCCGGACGAGTCTAAAATACAGTCAGTAACTTAACATTTTAAATTAAAACTCGCTGTAATTTAATATTTTAGATTAAAATTCATCGTAAATTAACCTTGGGTCAGACCGTCGGCCGAGCTGCCCGGTTCACCCTAATGTAAGACACAAGGTATAAATGTTGTGGGTCATGTTGGCACAGGCAGAGCCGTGGGAATCACAGACTTCATAAACCCAGAGGATCTAGAAGTTCCGGTGCATGAGGTTAGTAATAAATTTTTGGCCACAAGAAGGCACATGTGTAGGGTTTTCCCCCTAATAGGGCAGCCCAAAAAAGAATTGTAAAATAAGACACCAATATTTTTATTTTGAGATTTACGATATTTTTTATAGTATATAAAATTCATCACGTCGAAGTGACGTAATAAATTTTAACTTCACTATAATATTTGTTGTATTATCCAAAATAAAAATCTGAGTGCATGAATGGGCTAAATAAAAAAACAGAATACCCTAATGAAAAAAAACCCATGTGTAGTAGAAGTTAATGCAAATGGGATTGGTTTAAATGCAGAAAATAGGGGGAATGACAGAGGGAGGTGTGGACTACAGCTTTGAGTGTGCTGGTAACCTTCAAGTTCTTCGTGAAGCATTTTTGTCCACCCATATGGTAACTCCTTTTCCATCACTCTCCTTCCTCTGTTCTCAGTTGCATCTAGGGCTGTAAACGAATAGAGGGTTTGATGAATTATTAATAAACTAATCGTATAATGTTTAATTATTATGTTAAATGAATAGATATGTTTAATATAAAAATAAGTGTTTAAAGAATATTTCGAAAAATGCTTTAGTATTTAAATAATTTTTATTAAAAATATGTGTCTAAAATTTTCTCTGTTACATTTTAGGTGTCTACCGTTAAAAAAGTTATTAAGTGACATTAAGTTACACGTGTCACGTCTAGATTTTTTTTTAAAATAAATATATAATATTTTAACTGTATGCATCTAAAAATGTAACAGAAAACTTTAAGCACCTATTTTAAATAAAAATTCTTTAGACATCAAAACTTAATTTTAAGTACAGTTTAGACATTTATGTTTATATTAAACTAAATAAATATGAACAATGATGGACTGAGGGTGGGTGGAGGAAGTCGTCCTCCTAAAAATTTAAAATTATTATATATTTTATATTTTCTTTTATGTATTTTTTTTATTAAAAATCAGTTTTCACCCCTCTAAAATTTTATAAGTTCAAGTTCGCCCTCTAAAATTTTAAAAGTTTAAGTTTACACCAAACATAAAATTTTGCATTCATCCTGAAATGAGCAAACTCATATATTTATTTAAGAGTTAATTGCATCACATATCCTCAAAGTATGACTTTTATTTTGGTACCTCAATTTTTAGCCCTAAACTATAACTATCATTCTAAATTAATCTTCAAACTTCTAAATATTTCAATTGATCCCTAAACTATGACCTTCATTCTAAATTAGCCCCCAAACTTTTTGAACACTCCAATTTCATCCTGAATTATATGTATGTACTATCCACGTCCCTTGTCAGTAAAATCAACCAAGTTATATTATTGTGTTTGAAAAAAAATTACAAAATTCAGGTTAAATTATAATTGAAACTAATTACATGTTTGAATGAATTTAGGGATGGAATTGAATATTCAAAAATTTGGGGATTAATTTAGAAAAAAATCATAGTTTAGAGATAAATTTATAATATTCAAAAGTTTAAAGATTAATTTGAAATGAAAGTCATAATTTAGGGATGAAATATAAATATTCAAAAGTTTAAGGACTAATTTAAAATGAGAGTTATATTTTGGAGACATGTAATACAATTAAATCTTCATTTAGCAAATAAATAAACAAACATGAACATAAATATGTTCGATTGATTTATGTCCACGATTAGAGGTGAACTTTGAGTCCATGTTTGATGACACACACAGGGGTGGGGACTGACCGTGCTGCTGGGGATCCACCCGAGCCCGATGCTGCTGCCTCTGCATCCAATGGAGATGTTTAACGGGCGTCAAATTATAGGATCCGTTTTTGGAGGCTTCAAAGGCAAAACCCAGCTCCCAAGATTTGCCCAACAATGCATGTGTGGTGTAAGTAAAACCCCAAGCCTCCTCTCTGCAATTTGCTCTTCAGAAACTCCAATGGAACTGAGTTTGTTTCTCTGTCTGTCTGTCTATTTCCAGACCCTGAACTTGGATGAGTTCATCACGCACGAACTTCCGTTCGACCAGATAAACAAAGCCTTTCAGCTGCTAGTCGACGGGAAATCACTTCGATGCCTTCTGCAACTCTGAGCTTTTCGATATATATAAATAATCCTGTGGCTGTTGAATCAATCCATGGGTTGTTTGCAGTAACATATTTACTTGACACACTGTATTCTACTAATGTAATGTCAAGAAAATAAAGTATATGATCAATGTGAAATGCACAAATTTACGAGTAAAAGAGGAAAGGAGGGAAGAAAGTTCGATAGAGCAGCCGTCAGCACCGATCACCGATCTGAAGATGGCACGTTACCGGTGACAGAAAAGTACTAAGAACCACTCCATCATTCACATAACCTGTGACTACCAGGATGTGCAAAGAAAAGTTCAATTTGGGACAAAATCTAGTCCACATTAGTGAGTTATAATGCATAACATCATTTCAAAGCCTCCAAGCTCCATCCAACTCTATATACTGTTAGTTGCAAGGACAAACAGAAGATAACTCAATGACTCCCGAGCGCAGCGGCGGACAATATATATTATATATAAACTGGCAGACCATCAACATGGGAAATATATTTACATGGATGCGCGTATGGATTCTAAATATATATATATAAACTGATACTAAATCAGAAGGGTCCTGGACATTCAGTGCATGGGAAGGCGAGGAGTGCGTGGCCGAACTGGGGTCTTGGATGGACTTACCCTGATCATACACAAGAACAACAAAGGTCGACTTAGAACACAATCAAAATAGACAATTGATCTTTGGAGACAAATTATGGCCAAAAAAGAAGAGAAAAGAAAACATTTTGAGTAATGATGGAAACTCGGGAATCTGACCTTATGGGCAGTGACCCCAGAACCACACCGCTACAGTTGAGAGCGGCGATCGCACTTTCAGCCTGCAAGTGAATAAGAGAAAGATTGCATATTCATTCCCTCATGAACACCGAATCAACCCAATCATCAGATGATTTAAAAGCAGCTACATATCACTCGCCAACTTTAATCTCGTTTCAGAACTTGGACAACATCTCCGATAAGCCGCTTTAGTTTACAATATCACTTGGCATTCTGTTGAAAACATTTTGATATTTCGATATAACAAATTAAGTTAAATGAATTTTAAGATTTTCCAAAATGATTTTCTAAGTATATTCGATATAATTATTCGAATATCAAAACATTACTCCAAATATTTCAAAAATCATTTTTAATCCTTACTTAAGTGTAAAATTAAGTTTTAATCTTAAAACAATTTCAAAATAATCTTTCAAAGTATTTCGAACCATTTCAAAGCCAAAAATTCCAGATTGCTCAGAGAGAACCGATTCTCCCCAAGGGGTACCGATTCCCCCCTGAATGGTTTGGCTCCGAGATTTCCAGAATGCTCGGAGTGAACCGATTCTCCCATAGGGGGTATCGATTCCCCCTGTTCAACGGTCGAAATATTTGAATTTTACACTTAGGGAACCGATCCCCTATGAGGGGGAATCGATTCCCCCCACGCTCCAAGTTGTTTTATTAATTGTTTTCACACTAAAACGGCTATATGATCTTCACTAATCATCCCCAACGTTCAGAAGTGATTCAAGGTGTATTTAAACAAGTTCTGAAGCCCTTGATCAATAAGAAATTATAGAGAAACAAGAGAGAAAGCATCAAACACTAAGTTTGTGCAAATCAAGCCAATTTTCCTTTCAATATTCATTTTGCTTTCGAGAACACCATTTGTGTTCATTTGTAATTATCTTTGAGTGTTCTTTTCTTGTTCTAGAATTGTGCAAACATCTTACCTTGTGAGGTTTTCCTTATAAGTTTCCAAATTTGTAATCTTCTCTTTGGGAAAGTGTGTTCTCAAGAATTGGGGTATATTCTTGAGGGTGTTGTAAGGTTATCTCTTTGGCCTCAAAAGAAAGAACAAATTAGTGAATTTGTTGGAAAATCCTTAGTGTGGATAGCTAAGGTAGTGGACGTAGACTTTGATTGAGAAAGTCGAACCACTCTAAATCGCTGTGCAATTACTTTCAATTTTCTGCAAAAGCTTCCACCAAATTTTTAATTACCAATTCACCCCCCTCTTGGCCAAATCCGTCAATCGATTAACTCAACAATTGGCATCAGAGCCTAACTTATTTGAAGGTTTAATCGCCTCTTGAGTCGATTCGGGAAGATTTATATCGATAATCAAAGTCATCGATGGCCTCCGCTTCAAACTTCGACTCCGGTCTCGACTCGATGCCCGTCAACAAGCCTCCTTTCTTCAATGGAGCTAACTATGCCTATTGAAAGAATAGAATAATGTACTTCATTCAAGAAAGTGACATGGGAGCATGGAATGCTATAGAAGAATGATACATCAAACCTCTCACTCATCTAAGGTTATGGAGTGAAGGAGAGACAAGAATGTTCCAGCTCAACTCCAAAGCCATCCATATCATTTTTTGTGCTCTTGGACCAGATGAATACGGAAGAGTTTCATCGTGTACAACCGCCAAAGAAATATGGGACAAACTTCAAGTCACTCATGAAGGTACCGATGAGGTAAAGAAATCTAAAATTAGTATTCTAACGCATAGCTATGAAAATTTCAGGATGAAACCAAATGAAGATATCAAAGCTATGACAGATAGATTTTCAACGATTGTCAATGGTCTCAAATCATATGGAGAGATCATTTCAAATGAAAAGCTTGTGAGGAAGTTAGTCTACTCCCTCCCAAAATCGTGGCAATCAAAGAAGACGACAATCATCGAGTCTAAGGACTTAACGTCCTTAACTCTTGAAGAGCTAATTGGGTCACTCCTCACTCATGAAATGATGCTCGAAGATGAGGTGGACCTCGACAAAATTGACGAGACACCAAAGGAGAAGGAGAAGAAGAAAAACATTGGAGTTACTCTCAAATCCACAAAAGATGAGAGTGATTCAAATAACGATGACAAGGAAATGGCATTGTTTGCCAAACGGTTCAGAAAAATGATGAGACCTTATCGAGGAAGAAAATTCAAACGAAATAAAGGCCTAAAAAATGAACCGAAAGATAAGGACCCAATCATTTGCTACAAATGCAAAAAGCCAGGGCATGTTAAATATGAATGCCCACAATTGAAGAAAAAGGGTCAATCAAAGAATAAGCACAAGGCTCATGTGGCTACATGGAGCGATGAAGAAAGTTCCGATGAAGAGGAACAATAAGTAGCTAACTTGTTCTTGATGGCATTTGGGGAAGATTCTAAGGTAACCTCTAACTCATCCGATTTTGATGATTTATCCTATGATGAGTTATTAGAGGAATATAATGAGTTGGCTTCGGATTATGAGAAATTATTTTTAAAATATAAAAACGATGTTTCAAAATTGAAAAATGAAAACAAACTCATATCCAAAACATACAACGATCTTGAAAGTAAAATCAAAGATTTGCAAATCAAACTAGAAGAGTTTGAAAAGAAAAATTTAGATTTGCAAAATTTACTTTCAAAGATCAATGATGATCATCAAAAGAAAATTGATGATCTTAAAACTTCTTTTGATAAAGTTGGAACAAAACATTTTGAAAAAGGTGGAAATTCAAAATCCAACTTTGTTAGAAAAAGTTTTAGAAACTACAATCATAGAGGTCCCCAAAGAACCTCTAATGGAAAAATCGTTAGAAGTATGTGGGTTCCTAAAGAACTCATTACTACTAAAGATAAAAATATCCTACACAAATGGATACCTAAGGGGACTAGGATTTTGGAAACTAATGAATATGGACCCAAAAGAATTTGGGTACCAAAAATCAAAAATTAATCTATGTTTGTAGGGAAATGAGCATTGCTACAAGGCACGGGAAACAAATTCAAATTCATGGTACCTTGATAGTTGATGCTCAAGACACATGACCGGAGACAAAAGCCGGTTCATTGAGCCTAACGCCAAAAATGGAGGAGAAGTGACTTTTGGAGACAATTCAAAAGGTCACATTGAAGGTATTGGTACAATAGGTGTTATAAATACAAATGATGTTAGACATGAAGTTGGAGAACCATCATCAAAGGAAGAAACAAAAAATGAGGAAACTCATGATCCTCTTGAGAATCCAACCATTGAAGAAAGGGAAGTATCTTATCCAAGAGAGTACAACTATGTCAAGGATGGTGAAATTATAGGTGATCCATCAAAAGGGGGTAACAACTCAATCTTCTCTTAGAAATATTTGTAATTATGTTGCATTTATCTCATGCATAGAGCCTAAGAATATTAAAGAAGCATTAAATGATGAACATTGGATTATGGCTATGCAAGAAGAGTTAAATCAATTTGAGAGAAGTAAAGTATGGACATTAGTTGAAAGGCCTAGTAATAAATCTACTGTAGGTACTAGATGGGTATTTAGGAATAAGCTTGATGAGAGTGGTAATATAGTGAGAAACAAGGCTAGACTTGTTGCTGAAAGGTATACTCAAGAAGAGGGCATAGACTATGATGAAACATACGCTCCCGTAGCTAGGATGGAAGCAATTAGAATATTATTAGCATTTGCATGTTTTCATGAATTTAAATTATATCAAATGGATGTTAAAAGTGCATTTTTAAATGGTTTTTATAAAAGAAGAAGTGTATGTGGAACAACCTCCAGGTTTTGAAGATTCAAAATTTCCAGATCATGTTCTTAAATTGACAAAAGCTCTTTATGGTTTAAAACAAGCTCCTAGAGCTTGGTATGAAAGATTGTCAAATTTTTTAATTGAAAAAGGTTTTTCAAAAAGAAAGGTTGACACTACATTGTTTTTAAAGCATAAATGTAAAGATTTATTAGTAGTTCAAATTTATGTTAATGATATAATATTTGGTTCTACTAATGATGTTCTTTGCCAAAAAATTTCTAAGCTAATGCAAAGTGAGTTTGAGATAAGCATGATGGGGGAGCTCTCATTTTTCTTGGGACTCCAAATCAAGCAAAGAAAAGATGGCATCTTCATTAATCAAGCTAAGTACGTCAAAGATATGCTCAAGAAGTTTGGACTGGAAAATGGGAAACCTCATGACACTCCAATGAGCTCTTCAACAAAGCTTGACTTAGATGAAGGAGGTAAATGTGTAGATGTTAAATTATATAGGTCAATGATTGGCTCTTTGCTTTATCTAACTGCAAGTAGACCGGACATTATGTTTAGTGTTTGCTTATGTGCTAGATTTCAATCATGTCCTAAGGAATCACATTTACTAGCTGTTAAGAGAATCTTTAGATACCTTAAGGACACTCCTAGTTTAAGACTTTGGTATCCTAAAGACTCTAGCTTTAGCTTGCATGCTTTTTCTGATGCGGATTATGGAGGATGCAAATTAGATAGGAAAAGCACCTCCGGTACTTGCCAATTCCTTGGAAATATGCTAATTTCTTGGTTTTCAAAGAAACAAAATTGTGTTGCATTATCTACCATTGAAGCGGAATATATTTCAGCCGGTAGTTGTTGTGCACAAGTTTTATGGATGAAACAACAACTTTTTGATTATGGAATTGAAGTAGGTACTATTCCTATCAAGTGTGACAATACTAGTGATATTTGTCTCACTAAAAATCCCATCCAACACTCTAGAACTAAGCACATTGAAATAAGACATCACTTCATTAGAGACCATGTCACTAAGGAAGATGTAGTTCTAGAATTTGTTGATACTTTGCACCAATTAGCGGATATCTTTACAAAACCTTTAGACAAGGAACGATTTTGGACACTTAGGAGAGAATTAGGTTTGACCAATCTATCTTCACTGAGTGTTTAAAATAATTTTAGCACTTTTAATAATAAATGAAAAATGCTTATAATAGTAAATTTTGATTGTATTCATTGCTATTAGTTAGGGGGAGTTTATGATTCTTGATAAAAAATTAATTTTATGTTCAAATATCGTTTAAAGATTAATTGAATTGTTTGAACATGATTAATTTTCAATATATGAGTTGCCAA